TGCTTTTACTATTTTTTAACTAACTAATTAAATGAAATACTGATTTAAATGTTGTTTTAAGAAAAAATCGATTTCAACCTCGCTTTAATTGTAAGTTAGAAAATGTTGTAACTTGCAGTTTTGACATAACCTCATTATGCATTTAAAAACAATCTAATTCAGACTAAATGGTGCCTAAATCTAGATCTCATATTAGATATAAATGTTGATAATTTAAACACTATTTATGTCTATGAATTATTAAGGCAATAGCTAATTTTCTTAGGGGTACAGATTGATTTTTGAAGTATTCGGTAGTATCACATTAAAAGGCGAATCGGACGCAAACAGCATAATGTACTCTATGACTAGGTCTTGTACTTGGTCTAGTAATCCTGATCATATTAGTCTATTAATTTTAAGATTAAACGTGCAAAGTAGGACATACGATTTCTAGTCTAGCTCTACATGTTAACTTGTCCCTACACTGTTCTCTATCTTCATTGCTTGGCGTAATGCTGGGTCAAATGACTCAGCGACTGCACGAAGGCATCTACGTCATCTTTCGCTCAGATCGCAATGTAATTAAATTATCGATGTCTCCAGTCTCAGGCTCCAGTTACTCACTGGATCATCGTCCTGAGGCTTCCGAAGATCAGCCTCGAGTAGTACACTGAAGCGCTCTCGTACGTCAGCCAGCCTTCCGACATTTGCTTCTTTGCCGTAGGCAGGCCATCTTTTTTTACAATCTTGATGGTGATGTTCAGCTTCGTTTGGACAAGGCGATGGTCCGTGTAACAGTCGGCACTGGGCATAAACCTTGAGTATATTACTATATTTATGGTTAGGGGTTAGGGTTAGGTTAGCCCAGTTATTTTGGTGTAGATAATGGTGCAACGCTTAACGCGTTTGAGAGAGAACTTAGATCGCCAAGATTATCGTGTGTCGCCGCAGATTACATTTACAGCACTGGAGACATTTTCGTCGTAGACCTAACCACATCTGAGAGATTATTTTCATCGTAGACTGCACTACATCAGAGACATTATTGTTGAATGATTATTATTGTCAATGTTGATTAAATCATACGCCATTTAAGGGATTCGTCGTAGAAGAAATTGAACCGTTACTGCTAGATGAACTACGCTCTAGCTGCTATAGAACTCATTCTTCGCAGAAGAACCTAAAGTGTTATCGCCAGACAGAACCGGTATCGTCACCTTCAGAGGACATAACACCTGTAGAATCGAATCACTTTGCCAGAAGTAGATCTACACATCAGCTGTGAACCGGAGCTATCCAGATTGCCAGGACAGAGGAGCCAAAACTGACCACTTTGCCTTGTGTGATACTTTTTATGGCCAAAATTGATTTCAAGATAAGTTCATTTTTTCTTCTTACTAGTCTATTTCAAATAGATTTAATTAGGACCCAGTAGCAACTTGCCAGGTTAAATCGTATTGAACCGGGAGAATTCTTAAAGATGGATATTTTCTAGCAAGAAGCTCACGAATACATATAGTTGTATGTAAACGTGAATCATTTCTCTTTTTTATAAAGTCTTAAACCGTTTACAACTGCTGTGATACTAATTTATCTATAAAGCATTTTTAACAAACAAAATGTAGGCTCAAGGCGCTGAAATAACATTACAAACACAAACACGAGAGCTAAAATGACAAACTAATCTAAAAAGTTTTAAACAAGTATTTCTTAATGTTCTTCTTAAAAGTGGTGTAGAATGTTGTCTGTAAGAGATTAATGGGGAGTGAGTTCCAAAACTTTGATCCGTGCACTGAAAAAGCCCGCAGACCGTAGCTTTTGGGGGAGAAACGTGGCACCACTAGAAGCGTTGAGTCCATTGAGCGCAGGGCTATTTTGGTTATTTTGTCATCGGGTATACCTGCTAGCACGGCGTTGCAGTAGTCAAGGCGGGAGAGTATGAATGCCACAGCTAGCTTATTTTTGTTGACTTCTTTGTCAAATATGGTCGGATATGGCCTAATCTGCGCAGCTGCAGATAAAGACCCTTGCAGAGCTGACTTATGTGTGGGTCGTAAAAGATAGTGTTGACTTGAAGAGAACTCTACTATTCCGCATTACATGGAAATAAGGAACCTGGCAGTTCGTGATAAAAAAGGAATTTGTGCTCTCGACTTTTTAGACGTTGTTCCGAGTGCCAATCTTAATTATTTCTGTCTTGTCTTCGTTCATCCTGAGTTTATTCTCAACCATCCAATCGCTCACCCTTGCAACGGTACCACTGATTTTCTCGGCCAGATGCGACACCTCTGAGGGTACTTAGGAATCGTATAACTGTGAGTCATCGGCAAAGAAGTGGTATAAGTTACCGGTTGGCCTTATGACACCACTGAGCGGATATGTATTATGTATACATAGTGAACAGTACTGGGCCTAGAACTGATTCCTGGGGTACTCCGTACTTCAAGAGTAAGCTTGTTGATTCTGTCCGTTAACAACGACACAATTTTGGGTGCGTTCAGTCAGGTAGCATCTAAGCCACTTTAGGACGATTCCTTTTAAACCAAAAGTGGTAGAGAATCTGGCCATCATAATTTCATGGTCTAGCGTATCAAAGGCTTCGGACAAGTCCAGCATGGAAAGTATTGATATGTGTTCTATGTCGGAATAATGAATTAAGTCGCATAGCACCCTGACCACTGCTTTTCTATGCTACGGCACTTCATACATGCAGATTGAAATTCTTCCAAGAGACAGTACTGTTCAAGATGAGAAAGAATTTGCGCTAACACGATGCGCTCCAGAACCCTTGTCAGGAATGGAAGATTTGAAACCGGGCGATAGTTTTTTAGACATTTCTGGTCATGGCTGGATTTCTTTAATAAAGGCATAACAAGTGCATGCTTAATTTGATTGCTGTTGTACTACAATGCCTGTAGGCAGTGAAGAGTTCACAATGTTAATAAAGTGTTGGTACAAGCTCATCTAAACATTCAAGGAGCAAGGAAGTTGGAATGGAATAAGGGTCACATGATTTATTTGGCATCTCTAAAATAATACTTTTGACATAATCTTCAGATACACTCTGAAACTCGCCAAAAGGAAAACTTTGAAAGATTGGAGAGTGGTCAAGCTGAGATGAGAGAGATGACATGTCATTTCTGATGTGCTCAATCTTGCCAATGAAAAATCTATTTAAGGAATCAGGGAGTTCAGATACTTGGATTGATGATGGCCAAGATTCGTTATTTGCTCCCACTAACATTTCTTGTCTCGATCTCTAATCTTCCTATCAGACAAAAGTGTAATTTCTCATGGTTTTATTTTGTGTATATATTTATTTCTTAATTTAATTAATTTTCTTTATACTATATTTATTGATAAAGTAGGCCACATTTATTAATCCTTAACTAGCAGTAAATCTAGATCTAAGGTGAGTTTAGACAATTGGTAGTATACCATTGTCTATGTAAGTAAACAGTCTTTTAATTGAAGCATCTCGGTAGTTAGCCGATTGATGTAAATGGTTGGTCATTGACAAGTTTGATTTTATTGTTTCTACTATGTAGAGTACTTGGAAATGTTCTAGATCTTATTTCAGTGTAAATCTAGACGAGATGGTATATTGATTAAATATATATGTTAATTACATTGATATTATAATGTGAAATTTTTGAGTCTATAAGTAAGTTGCCACAAAACAGTTGTTTGTTGACAATATAGCGAGAAGTGGAGATTTTTTGTCAGTATGCAATATATTTAAGAAGTACAATACTTTTTGTCCTTTGATCTAAGTATTGGTGCCGAGTATAGCAATATTGCTAACTGAAAGAGAGTAACAGTAGCTTAAGGAAATGATATGATGACTTTCCTCGAAAATTTTTGGCTAAAGTTAATTAAGCAGTTAGAAGTAAAAATAAAACGAAGTAACTAGCATTGTTTAACAGATAGTAGCTATGGAGAGTTTTAGTTTTAGTTTTAGTTTTAGTTTTATTTTTAGTTTTATTTTAAGTTTTAGTTTTAGTTTTAGTTTTAGTTTTAGTTTGAGTTTGAGTTTGAGTTTGAGTTTGAGTTTGAGTTTTAGTTTTAGTTTTAGTTTTAGTTTTAGTTTTAGTTTTAGTTTTAGTTTTAGTTTTAGTTTTAGTTTTGAGTTTTAGTTTTGAGTTTTTTGGCACATCGGCACACTTTAGACAATGTCGTGCCTGTAATCCCTAAAAAGGTTACTCTCCCTTCCTACCACAAGGGCTAAATTTTATTTAGTTATTAAAAACAAGGTCTATTCACAATTAAAATAGTAAAGATAGTGAAAATTTAATAATTTAGTAAAAATCTTTTGTAAATATTATATGTACACAATTTTATAGCTATGAAGAGAGAGATTACATAAAAGGGTAGCTATAGAGATAGATTAGATAAAATTGTAACTATGGAGAAAGAGAGAGAGAAAAAGTCAAGTTAGTAAAGGAACAGGCCAGAATAGAAGCAGAGATAAAATAGAAATGAAACAGGCTAAACTAGAAACAGTGTGTAGGGAGAAAGAAAAAGATAGAGAAGAACAATTAATAAAAGAAGAGGCAGATAGAAAGTGATCTAGAGGCTCAGTGCGCTTGAAACTTGACTTGGCTTGGCTACCTTAACAGGGGGCTCGAGGTTTGACACGCAACTCGAGCAGAGTTGTTTTTACTGAGCCCCTAATGGCAGCATGGAAAACCTTCTCCAAGATACCCCCCCTCGCCCACTGGTCCACAAAAGAGATCGAGCAATAGCGCTCTGAGTATGCTATACCCATGAAAGTAGCGCTATAAAAACTATAATTTATTTATTTATATAATATGGCTTAGAGAAATTGAGGTTAGACGCAATTTAAAAAAAAACAAAAACAAAATGAGCAGAAATATTTTCTTTTCTTTGTGTTTATCATCACATCGATCATTTGTACATTTTAGATTCCAGAGGAAATGGTAGGCGAATGAAAAATAAACTTTAATCTATTTATGGGTTGGAAATTTAGGGATGCCTCAAGTATCATTGTTTAAACGTTGTCATAAGTTGTTAACGAATGTTTTGTTGTTTGTATCCATACTAGGAAACTTGCTATGAAGTGGTAATTCTCTTCAGTGATGCATGCCGATGGCAATGAACATTGAAATTGTAATTTGCATCGGAAACAACGTTATTGTGACGGGCACGTAATGAACTTAACCTTGTACGTGGTATATTGTGGTAACTACATTGTGAATCGTCAACGTAATATTTCCTTCTTATGGACTGTTATTACAGAAAGGTTCATTTTGAATTGTGTGTCAGACTTTATGGACTTTTTTAAGTAGTGAGTTTATGTTTCACATTGACATTACTATAGTTATTTCTTTGATAATGTGGTACTGAGCTTGCCTTGTAGGATACTAAAGGACTTATTTCATGACATGGCTATGGTCTCACTTTGGTGAAATATTATTTAACTTACCTCAGTGCAAGTGAATGAACTTTTTGAGATACCAGTGAAGTTACTGAGATGTCAAGAGAATGTATGTGCTGTTTTGTCCATGCCCTTATTTATTGTATTTGTTTTTTGTTTTTTTTATTATTTATTTCTCCATGCCATGCTATTTGCTATTGTAAAGACATGTGACTGTAGTTTTAAAAAAAAATTGGTAGACATTTTTTTTAATGGGGGAGGAAATATTATGTACTAGTTTAGTTAGAGAGTATGTTAATTTTGGTAGATAAATATATTGTGTATCGTTTTAGCTACGGTAAAATTAGTGACGTAGTAAGACAGACGAATGACGTAGTAGACATAGGCGAACAGAAAGAACAATATGGCGTTAGCTTAGGAGGTTGATTTGTATTGGAGATATATTAGTTACGAAGAGACATGCATCTCAAATGTTAATAAATACATCATTTACAGTAGTACAAAGACTTGATCAGGTTTATATTGTAAATGTAATGTTCTTTGGTCAATGTAGAACAGTTGATGAAATAGTAGTTGATTTACATAACACCCAATATACTAACCAGAACACACACACTAATCATAAGCCATTTATTCATATCCCTATTATGTAACAGCTACAAGACTGTATAACGTCCGCCACTCCATCCACAGTCTCTAGTGATGGATACCTTGTGGTATGTCGTGGTAGACTTGCTGGGCTGGGTTTTAAGGTCTCTCTTTCTGCCTCACCCGGGATGAGTTTTAAAAACAAAGCGAAAGCTCACTCAGAGTAATATGACAAAAGCATTATCCACTACCCGTTGTTCGCCTATCCACATATAGTACCAGGGACGGATTTAAGTAGGTGAAGACCACGGGGCTGGATTAAATAAAGACCAATACACTTTTGGAAAGCTTTAATAAAAATCAACGTAAAGTATTTACATTTAAAAGTAATAATAATATGAACAATTTAGTCCGAAAAAGTTATACTTTTGAGGCTTGAGTTTGTGAAGGGTAGGATTCTGGTTTGACGCACTGCCGTTTGCTGTGTTATGTATTTCAGTGTATAAGCATTCATTTTAGCTCTAGATGTAGTTCTTGAAATTGTTTTTAACTCATAAAGAAAGGAAAAACGAGTCTACTTCTTCATTACCAATTCTCTTTTGCAATGAATTTATTTTGCGATGGAAGCGTTTACATAATCGTGAACGTGGAACTATTAGTTTGCTTTCTTGGGGTAATTTATAGCATAATATAATGACTAATTAAGCTAGTATGCAAAGTCATTTCCTGTTAAGCAAACCATTTATCAACTCAAATAAGAAAACATTGATGCTCTTGTTTAATAATCGATTAAGCATTCTTCCCTTGAGATAATTAACGATGTTTAGTAGGAAAAAGTAGCAGGATATGACTACTTCCCATTTCTCCACATAATAGCGAAAAAATCGCACATTAAAAAAAAGCATTCTTAACGAGTTGCAACACGTACCCACTTTAATCTCTTCCTGAGACCCTGGGCATGGGCGTGGCCAGGGGGTTCTTGGGGTTCACCCCCCTCCCCTCGCAAAAAAAAAATTATTACTGATTTGTTGCCTTGATTTTGTTTATTTTAGGTGTGATTATAATATAAAGCCACCACTTGTCCCAGCGCAGCCAGGAGGGGTTTAGAGTTCAAATCCCATCCAGGGGGTTGTGAGGTTGAAATCCTTCTCTTCTTTAAAGCAAAGAATAATACAAAAGAAAGTCACCAAATACTATGATAAAAAAAACACCTCTTCAATATTAGACTAAGGATACAACAGTCACAAGATACTATGAGCGAGCATAGCCAAGAGGGGTTTTGTGTTTAAAACCCCATCCATAAGTTTTTAAAGTTTAAAACCTCATTCAGCAGGGTTTGAAGCTAAAAACCACTTCTTGGATGTAAAAAAAGTAAAATACACACTCTAAATTCAAGAGGACTTTAGGTTTAAAATCCCCTCCAGATGTTTTAAGTTATACAGATGGCTATTAGGTTAACCCCCTTCCTCTTCAATATTTTTCTAAAGCAAACTACAATAACTTAATTCTATGAGCGGAGCTACGAGGTTAAAAAAAAACACACACAAAAAAAAAGATTTTTTAAATTCAAGCCCCCCAACAGATAATTTTGACGATAAAACTTCTTTTTTTCGTTATAAAATCTAAAGCGAACTACAGTCAGCAAATTTCATGAGCGTAGTCAAAAGAGAGCTACAAATTTCTACTAGTCGCTGGGCTCCATTAATAAAGTGCAGTGAATAGAAGATTTGGTTTCTGAACTATTTTTTTTCAATTGCAGGATTATACACTGTAGATACGTTTTTTTTTGTTTTAAATACCAAATATAGTGCTTGGCGGTGGGGCTCCGCCCCAAGCCCCCCTGGCTTGCAAATGGTGGAGAGTTTACTGACTTTCTACTAACCCCAGGAAGAACCTATTCTAGCGTACAATAAACATATTCCGAAAGAATGACGGGTCAGAATGTAACAAAAATTAATTACGTATACGCACACACACATTATATAATAAATAAATTAATTAATATATATATTGTCACGTACGCTTTGTCTATATTTAGCCCAAGGTTTGTCGGCAAGATTTCAGATAGCTCATGGGATTCCAAGCATGCAGCAACCTTCTGTTTTAGAATAAATGTGATTGGTTAGAAATATTAATTATTGTACAATAATCTGTATTTTATTGTTCAATTGATTAACCAAGCGACAAAGAGATATTAGCCACATGGTAAACGCCCAGAGGTCTTAAAGATTCTAGATATTACCGCCAGTCTAGTGTAGTGTAGATCATTTAATTTAGTAGAAATATATTTTATGTTTTATTCAATCACTGTATATCATTGTAATTATTGTGAATAGCTTTTCCAAGTTTTGAATTAAAGTATTTGTATTTGACGAGGAGAAGTTTCTTCATTGAATATTATAATAATATAATTAGATCGTCTTATCGACTAGCAACTTCTAGATGATCTTCTTATCAACTAGCAACTTTTAAATGATCATCTTATCAACTGACGATTTCTAGATCCTCGGCAATTACGATCATTTATCGTGCAGTTTAGATCAAGTTCATATTCAACGTGACATCTAGCATCATTGATGATCGTGATATATATATATATATCCCTCATTGGCCTCCTTCAGTCGTATAACTACTATAGTTCATCTCAGAGCACACAACTACTCATATGGCTGTGGAGCTCTATTTTGGAGAGACACTCCCGTCCACAGATAGCGCAGGGTTAAGGTAGCTTTTGCTTCGGTGGTAGATATATATACTCCATACCAACATGGCTTTAGAAAATATTATAATAACTTAAGTGAGGTAACTCAACGAGACATAGACGTTTATTTACACGACATTACAGGTACACAAAACAACATCTTCTTTTAGCACAGTCTCTTTATATTTGCTCTCTACTTGGGCGGAAATAGTTCTCTCATCTCGTCCTAATGTTGACATCCTTCTCAGTCTAGTTTATCACAGTGCGCACTTTCTAGCTTAACAATATAGATCATGTAAAACACAACTGATAGGACTAATTGATGATTTTTCAAAAGGTTTAATTAACAGTGAGCAAATAGATGCTAGCTTACTAGATTTTTCCAAAGCTTTTGACAAAGTTCTCCACCATAGTTTGATTAAAAAATTAATTGATTTTGGCATTGATGGTCCGTTGCATCAGTGGATTAAAGATTTTCAGATAGGGAGAGAATAAACTGTAATAATAAATGGCTCTAAATCAAAACCGATAACAATAAACTAGGGTGTACCTCAAGGAACAGTCTTAGGTCCACTATTTTTTTTTATTTACATAAACGATTTACCAAATTGCATTAGTTCAAGAACAAAAGTCAGATTTTTCGCAGACGATTGCATAATATATAGAAAAATAAAACTACGCAAGATACAGAAATTTTACAAAAAGAATTAGATGATTTACAGAAATAGAAATCAAATTGGAGCATGTCTTTCCACTCAGAAAAAAGAAAAATGTCAGTTGTTAAGAGTAACAAAAAAAATAAACTAAAACTATGCTAGGACAAATTTGTACAAATCCTCATTCTTCCCTAGTGCTATTAGAGCATGGAATGGGTTGCCTTAGCTAGCCAGGAAAACCAGTGACTGGGCTGAATTTAGGTCATTGGTTAATATGCATGACTAAATGCATGACGCGTAGGACGTAATTATCTTCTTTTTTGAAGTAACGTCTTATTTAAGATAAGATATATACATATGGTAGGGGGAAATCCACCCAAAACCCCTTATTGCAACTGTAAGAAGAGTTTTTCTTCATTAAAATTATTACATTATTGATCTAACTAGTGAGTGCTATTCCCATCAGTATTAGACATTTAAAACATTATTCTAAATTTACAGACAGCTTTAAATGAATTAAGTAAAGATGATTTTTGTTTGTTTTGGTTTACTAAAATCTTAAATTTTGGTTCCTAGACAAAAAGAGATTAATACTTACTGTCACATTAGGATCTTGTTGAGGGAAGCTTATATTGAAAGAACAAGTCGGCGAGTAGGAGACACGTGGAGCAAAACATGCAATATGCAGTTTTTTAGAAAACACTCCTGTAGTGCAACTTATACCTACAACATTTTCTGGAGAAGAAAAAAAATGTAAGTAAATAATAGGTGTTTAAGAAAGAAATATTTTTTTTCAGATAAACAGACTAATATTGAAATCTTATTGATGCCCTGTTTATAGAATGTATATATTTTGTTTTTAAATTACAATTAAACAATGCAATTTTTGTATGTTACTTATAAATGTTGTAAATGTTTTTTTTGTTGTTTTTTTTTTGTTTCGGGTTTTTATTTATAGTACTCCTGTATGACTTAAAGTATATTTTATTCTTAAAGCGTTAAACGAAGTCTATATTTCAAATAAGACAAACAACACCTACGATATTATGATTTATCATACAGCATTAACAACATTTTTTGTTTCCACTCACGGTATGAGTACATCATGGATTAGTCCACAATACTGCAATAGTATGAAAAACTCCCTCTTTTTAATATTGTAACGTTGTAATTGTAACTAGTTTAAAGTATAAATAACTGATGACTGTCTCTCTCGGTTGAAAACATAAAAATGATATTTTCTAGAGTTCATTTTAGAAACCTTTTTTATTAGAGCGAAAATGAACCATCAGGAAACGTTTGTAAATCCAAATAGTTGCTTTCATGTATTTGTTTTTAACAATTTAGATCTAGTTTAAAAATCAACAACATTATAACTACAAAATTGCTTTAATTATACATCTTTATTTCAGATTAAGTCAAGTTATAAATTAACGTCTCAACTAAAAAAAAATCAAGGTTAACTAGATTT